ACAGAAGCTTAAACCCTAGTTTATGCGTTGCTTCGTAAGGGGCTGATTTGGATCCATATGTTTCATGCTATGGTTAGGTTTACCTTAATACTTCTTTTGTAGTTGCGGATGCTTGCAAGAAGGGTTAATCATAAGTGGGATGCTTGTCCAAGTAAGGGCAGTACCTAAGCACCGGTCCACCCAAATATCAAATTATCAAAGTAACTAACGTGAATCATATGAGCGTGATGAAAACTAGCTTGGTGATAATTCTCATGTGTCCTCGGGAGCGCTTTCCTTTATATAAGAGTTTGTCCAGGCTTGTCCTTTGCTAAAAAAGGATTGGGCCATCTTGTTGCACCTTATTTACTTTTATTACTTGTTACCCGTTACAAATTACCTTATCACAAAACTATCTGTTACAGATATTTTCAGTGCTTGCAGAGAATACCTTACTAAAAATTGCTTATCATTTCCTTCTGCTCCTCGTTGGGTTCGACACTCTTACTTATCGACAGTACTATGATAGATCCCCTATACTTGTGAGTCATCAAGACTCTTTTCTGGTGCCGTTGCCGGGGAGTGAACCGCCTTTTGTAGGTGGAATTGGGTAAGGAAAAATTTATATAGTGTGCTAAAATTTACTGTCACTTGTTACTATGGAACATAATCCTTTGAGGGGCTTGTTCGGGGTATCTTCACCCTGACCAATAGAGCAAAGAGTTGCTCCTCAACCTACTGAGCCTACTGAAAATGTTTACTTTGAAATTCCTTCGGGTATGATAGAGAAACTGCTAGCTAATCCTTTTACTGGAGAAGGAACATTGTATCTCGATTTGCACCTAATCTATGTGGATGAAGTTTGTGGATTATTTAAGCTTGCAGGTATGCCCGAGGATGTTATCAAGAAGAAGGTCTTACCTTTATCTTTGAAGCGAAAGGCATTGACATGGTTTAGCATATGTGATGATATTGGATCATGGAACTACAACCGATTGAAATTGGAATTTCATCAGAAGTTTTATCCTATGCATCTGGTTCATCGTGATCGTAATTATATATATATATATATATATATATATATATATATATATATATATATATAACTTTTGGCCTCGCGAAGGAGAAAGCATCGCTCAAGCTTGGGGGAGGCTTAAGTCAATGTTATATTCATGCCCCAATCATGAGCTCTGAAGAGAAATTTTTATTCAAATTTTTTATGCTCGGCTTTCTCTCAGTAATCGCTCCATGCTCGATACTTCTTGTACTGGATCTTTTATGAAGAAGACTATAGAATTCAAATGGGATTTATTGGAAAGAATTAAACGCAACTTTGAAGATTGGGAACTCAACGAAGGTAAGGAGTCAGGTATAACTCCTAAGTTTGATTGTGTTAAATCTTTTATGGATACCGATGCTTTTCGTGAATTTAGCACTAAATATGGACTTGACTCTAAGATAGTAGCTTCTTTCTGTGAATCATTTGTTACTCATGTTGATCTCCCTACAGAGAAGTGGCTTAAACATCATCCTCCCATTGAAGTAAAAGTAGTTGAACCTATTAAAGTTGAAGAAAATACTATCACTTATAATGTTGATCCCATTGTTCCTACCGCTTATATTGAGAAACCACCTGTCCCTGTTAGAATAAAGGATCATGCTAAATCTTCAACTCTGATTCGTAAGAGTAATACTAGAACACCTACACCCCCTGAGCAAATTAAAGTTGAACCTAGTATTTCTATGGTTAAAGATCTCTTGGTCGATAATATTGATGGGCATGTTATTTACTTTTGTGATGAAGCTGCTAGAATTGCTAGACCCGATACTAAAAATAAACATAGAGCTGTTGTAGGCATGCCTGTTATTTCGGTTAAAATAGGAGATCATTTCTATCATGGCTTATGTGATATGGGTGCTAGTGCTAGTGCAATACCTCATTATTTATATGAAGAAATTATGCATGATATTGCACCTGCTGAGTTAGAAGGTATTGATGTTACAATTAAGCTTGCCAATAGAGATACTATTTCACCGGTTAGGATTGATAGAGATGTTGAAGTCTTGTGTGGGAAAGTTAAATATCCCATTGATTTTCTTATTCTTGGTTCCCCACAAGATGACATTTGTCCCATTATATTTGGTAGACCCTTCTTGAGTACTGTTAATGCTAAGATAGACTGCAAAAAGGATATTGTTTCTGTTGGTTTAGGGGATATGTCTCATGATTTTAATTTTGCTAAATTTCGTAGACAACCCCATGATAAAGAATTACCTAGTAAAGATGAAACTATTGGCCTTGCTTCTATTGCCGTGCCTCCTAGTGATCCTTTAGAACAATATTTGCTACACCATGAAAATGATATGTTTATGAACGAAAGAAGGGAAATAAATGAAGTATTCTTTAAACAGGGACCTATTCTGAAACACAACTTGCCTGTAGAGATTCTTGGGGATCCTCCTCCACCCAAGGGTGATCCCGTGTTTGAGCTTAAACCATTGCCTGATACTCTTGATGAAAAGAAGATATATCCTATTATTATTAGTGCTAACCTTTCAGAGGATGAAGAAGAAAAATTATTGAAAACTCAGAAGAAGCACCGTGCTACTATTGGATATACTCTTGATGATCTTAAGGGCATTAGTCCCACTCTATGCTAGCACAAAATAAAATTGGAAAAAGATGCTAAACCGGTTGTTGATCACCAACGACGGTTAAATCCTAAGATGAAAGAAGTGGTAAGAAAAGAAATACTAAAGCTTCTCAAGGCAGGTATAATTTATCCCGTTGCTGATAGTTAGTGGGTAAGTCCTGTCCATTGTGTCCCTAAGAAGGGAGGTATTACTGTTGTTCCTAATGATAAAGATGAATTGATCCCACAAAGAATTGTTAAAGGTTATAGAATGGTAATTGATTTTTGAAATTAAATAAAGCTACTAAAAAGGATCATTACCCTCTACCTTTCATTGATCAAATGCTAGAAAGATTATCCAAACATACACACTTTTGCTTTCTAGACGGAGATACGATGGAGACATAGCAACGCACGGGGTACTGGTGCACGGAACCTGTTATTGCTTGAGTTCTTCCTCTAAGATAGAATAAAAAAATTGTAGCTCGGGTGATTTAACTTGGGGCCTGAAGGCGGACACTAATCGCAACTCATCCTTCAGCCCGAGGAGAAACTAAGACACAAGAAACATGGGGCTCAACTATGGGCCGAGCGATAGCAAGTGATATATGTGGGTTTCGAAGTGTTGTTGGTAGTCCTATGTACTGCATCGCTTGGGCCTGACCACCAACCGATTGCCCACTGTATACCAGGAAATACCCAAAAAATTCTCATCCTCACTTCTACCACGATCTTTTATGTCAGGGACGGCCCAAGGAATGTCATGTAGGTGCGACTCCAACGTGCCTAGGATGGTAACACCCAATTTTGTCATAACTTTTTGCCGTAGAAGTAGGACCACACCACATTTATGATGATATGTGTTTTTGTCACAATTCTCGTCATGGAAGTGCCACATCCATGACAGAACAAGTTTTGGTTTGGGGCATAATGTCACAGATGTGTCTATTTTTGTAGTGACTGCTCTGACCTCAATACATTGTTGAGACTTGGAGCCTTGTAAGTTGACGTTGTAAAGTTGCGTATATCAATAAAGAACTCTTTGTACAATGTCTTCCATCCTTTTACGCTTGTAAAATCATACGTCGGGTTGATTTCTTGTGCTGGCGTGTCTGCCGGTCTATCTGTGTATGGTGGTAATTCACTGTACCCAAACAAGGTGCATTGATACATTGGAGACATATAAACTGACACCATGCAATGTAATAAGTAGCATGCATATTTCCCATTGACACATATATAAACAAATATCAAAAAAGTAAATAGTTAAATATAATTATTTAATGCGTTTAATATTGTTTCTGCATAATTCATAGGAGAAAGGTGAGGATCTCTTTAGATTTCCTAATATTCTGTGATATATTGTTTTTTAACATGATACTATAAAGCATTTCCTTGCATTTATGCAATATATTTGAATATATGAACATTTATAACGCATCATATCCCACCTACCCACCACTGATCGACACTCTCCCCTGATCCTCTATGTCGCCAATGTTCTTCTTCATATCCACCCTCCATCACTTCTCTCGTGCTACCCAACATGCCCCTCTATCAATATAGAAGCGGGAAATCTTGCATATCTGGAAAGATGGATCATTATTTAATAAAATCTCCCAATATTGGTTTGCCATATTTATTTGAGTGGAGAGCGGTGCGGATTTTTGCATCGTGAAGGCGATGGAGAATGGCTGGCCATGAGCTGCATCTTCCCTTCGGCCCTCTATATATAACACAACATAATCAGGGTACAAAGCACACCATCACCAAGCAGTCAAGCAGCAAGAGCGGGAAGATCTCCATTCTCTTCCTCCTGGACCTCCTCGTCCTCCATCTCCTCCATTGTAAGTTCTAGCCTTAGCCTTCATATCCCTACTCCATCCTTTGTTTATCAATCTTTTTTCAGCATCCACCCTTTATAGTTTTTGTATCCATGTATTATATACATGAGTTTACAAGAGGTGAGGTTATATATGTGTAGGGTGTAAGTAGTTCATTTGATCTATATAGTACGCTTGTGTTGACATCCATGTTTATGCCTCTATACATACATGTTGCCATTTTTTATGGTTTATTTTCTATGTTGATGTTATTTGGATGCGTCTATTTTTTGGAGCTACATGATTTCATAAATGGAAAACATGCAAAATTAATCATGCATATAACAATCATCAATCTATAGTATGGAAAGTACCATATTTCTTCTATTACTTATTGATCATGTTTTGGGAATTCTATATTAGTGAAACTATGATGTCACTAATTAATATTACATTTTTCTATTGACTCTTTTCAAGAATAACAATCTCCTTGCGTGTATTTGGCATGAGTGTGTAAGGGAATAACTAATTTCTTTATTCTATTTTCAAATTCATTTAGTTGATCATGGCATCCAAGGCCCAAGGGTCCTCCTCTGTGAAGGCACTGGTTGTTGAGGACAACACAGTTCAAAGGATGGTCCTCTCGCAGAAGTTACACAATTTTCAATGTGAGATTACTCTCGCCGTGAATGGAAAAGAAGCAGTTGACCTATTCCTTGAGGGCAAGAAGTTTGACATTATTTTTTGCGATAAGGACATGCCCATCATGACTGGTCCTGAGGTGCTTAGCTTCCTCTTTGGATTTTCAATGTATTTACAATTTTTAGAAATGTATTGATTTGAACATAAGTCCTTGATTTAAGTTTGCAAATAAACTAAAAATTCTCTTGTTGTGTTGCTTAATAGGCAGTTGTAAAGATCCGTGCTATGGGGGAAACTGATGTGAAGATTGTTGGGATGTCAGCTGATGATGATGCCATGGAGGTGTTCATAAGTGCTGGTGCTGATATTTTTGTGCCCAAGCCTTTCAAGGTTCAGGATCTCGAGTCTATAATTAAGGAAGTCATCAACAAGAAGAAGAACACCATGGTCTAGCACATTCGAACTTCCTTGAGCGATGGACGAAATATTTTTCTGCTTATGGAGCTATGTTTTCTTATGTATGCATTGTTCTGTTGTTTACTTTCATTGTGTTGTTTAATTTCTAAAGATTAATGTTTAAGTTCGTTCGTTCTAAGCAAGAAGAACATGAGACTCTATCCTTCATTCCATGGCATTGATATATTGCTTGATCGGCACCAATATAAATATGGCGCAATGTAATAAATAGCATGCATATTTGTCCATTGTCACTTTTACAAACAATACCAGAAAGAAATAGTTACATAATTTATTTGTCAACTTTAATCGAGGGTATGTTTTGCATAATTTGTCAGGGAGAGGCTCGGAGGTACTTGAGATTATTTTAACATTTTGCGATACATTGATTTTTAACACAATACTCTGAAGTATGTCCTTGCGTTTATAAAACTCCTTAAATAATTTTGTAATATATTTTCATTTCTAAATATTTATAAACCTACTTATCCCTCCCTCCTGCCCTGAGCGCCTCTCTCACATGATCCACTACATCATCAGTGCTCTTCGTCCCATCAGCCTTCCCTAATCCTACATCCATTCTATTGTGCTATCCAACGCATCCCTTTGTCGTCGCATAAGTCACCGATATGGCTTTCCAAAGATGTGCATAATTAATGTATATATATATATATATAATCTCCCAATTTCATTTGCCATATTTATGTGAGCAAAGAGTGGAGGTTTTTTGCATGGTGAAGGAAGTGCAAATTGGCTGGCCATGGGATATGCCTCCCCTTTGCCCATGTATAAGTACCATGGCATACTCAGGGTACAAGGCACGCTACCACCAAATAGTGAAGTGGCAAATGAGGAAAGAGATCCATTCTACTCCACCAGCTCCATTATAAGCTCTTGCTTCAGCCCACATATCCCTATTTCATCCTTTGTTTTTGTACCTTGTTTTATCATCTAACCTGTAATAGTTTTTGTATCCATGTTTTACAAACACGAGTTCATAAGAGGTGATGGTATTTGTGTGTAGAGTGGAATAGTTCATTTTGATATATATATATATATATATATATATATATATATATAGTACATTTGTTTGGCATCCATGTTTATGCCTCTATGTATACAAGTTTAAGGAATGTATAATGCAAGGGAAACATGGAGAGGCGGTGGAGGGGTGCCTCTGGGGTCCATGTGGCCTTGGTCGCGCCCCTGGTTGTGAGTTGGGAGCACAAGGGGCCCATGGGCACCACGTTCTACCCCTCCGCTTCTTGGGACCTTCTAGAATTGAAAATAAGTAACTTACTTTTTTCTCAATTTTCTTGACACCGAAAAATTACTCTCCTAGAAAGTGCAAAAACAAGAGAATTCAAAAAAATGGTGTTCCTCGCTATCAACTTCGACCTCCCGAATCTCGTTGTAGTAGTCTGTCATCTTCGCCTATGCCATCGTCAGGCATGCACCGGTATTCACGCAAAAAAACATGTCCCCGAGGCAAAAATATAGGAGGATTGAAAGTATGTCTAGAGGGGGTGATTAGACTACTTAACCAAATAAAAACCTAAACTTTTTCCCAACTTTAGTTGTGGGCAGATTTTAGCAATTAACACAAGTCAAGCAATCAACCTACACATGCAATTCTAAGAATGTAGCAGAGGAAAGTAAAACATTGCATATGAAGGTAAAGGGAAGGGTTTGGAGAAGGTAAACCCAATGGAGACACGAAGATTTTTGGTGTGGTTCCGATAGGTGGTGCTATCGTACGTCCATGTTGATGGAGACTTCAACCCACAGAGGGTAACGGCTGTGCGAGTCCACGGAGGGCTCCACCCACGGAGGGTCCACAAAGAAGCAACCTTGTCTATCCCACCATGGCATCGCCCATGAATGACCTTCTGATGACCCACAAGTATAGGGGATCTATCATAGTCCTTTTGATAAGTAAGAGTGGCAAATCCAACGAGGAGCAGAAGGAAATGACAAGCGGTTTTTAGTAAGGTATTCTCTGCAAGCACGGAAATTATCGATAACAAATAGTTTTGTGATAAGGTAATTCGTAAGGGGTAACAAGTAACAAAAGTAAAAAAGGTGCAGCAAGGTGGCCCAATCCTTTTTGTAGCAAAGGGCAAGCCTGGACAAACTCTTATATAAAGGAAAGCGCTCCCGAGGACACATGAGAATTATCGTCAAGCTAGTTTTCATCATGCTCATATGATTCACGTTCGTTACTTTGATAATTTGATATGTGTGTGGACCGGTACTTGGGTACTGCCCTTCCTTGGACAAGCATCCCACTTATGATTAACCCCCCTCACAAGCATCCGCAACTACGAAAGAAGAATTAAGGTAAACCTAACCATAGCATGAAACATATGGATCCAAATGAGCCCCTTACGAAGCAACACATAAACTAGGGTTTAAGCTTCTGTCACTTTAGCAACCCATCATCTACTTATTACTTCCCAATGCCTTCCCCTAGGCCCAAGCAATGGTGAAGTTTCATGTAGTCGATGTTCACATAACACCACTAGAGGAAAGACAACATACATCTCAACAAAATATCGAACGAATACCAAATTCACATGAGTACTTATAGCAAGACTTCTCCCCTTTCCTCAGGAACAAACGTAACTACTCACAATCATATTCATGTTCATAATCAGAGGGGTATTAATATGCATAAAGGATCTGAACATATAATCTTCCACCGAATAAACCAACTAGCATCAACTACAAGGAGTAATCAACACTACTAGCAACCCACAAGTACCAATCTGAGGTTTTGAGACAAAGATCGGATACCAGAGATGAACTATGGTTTGAGATGAGATGGTGCTGATGAAGATGTTGATGGATATTGACCCCCTCCCATTGAGAGGATCGATGGTGATGACAATGGTGGTGATTTCCCCCTCCCAGAGGTATGTTTTCCCGGCAGAACAGCTCCGCCGGAGCCCTAGATTGGTTCTGCCAAGGTTCCACCTCGAGACGGTGGCGCTTCGTCAAACAACTTCCTTCTTATTTTTTTAGGTCAAAACACACCTTATGCCAGAAGATGGGAATCGAGGGGCTTCCAAGTGGCCCACGAGGCAGGGGGCGCGCCCAGGGGGGTAGTGCGCACCCTCCACCCTCGTGGACGGTGGGTGGCCCCCCTCTGGTGCTTCCTTCACCCAATATTTTTTATATATTCAAAAACTGACTTTTGTGGAGTTTCAGGACTTTTGGAGTTGTGCAGAATAGGTCTCTAATATTTGCTCCTTTTCCAGCCCAGAATTCCAGCTGCCGGCATTCTCCCCTCTTCATGTAAACCTTCTAAAATAAGAGAGAAAAGGCATGTGTATTGTGACATAATGTGTAATAACAAACCATAATGCAATAAATATCGATATAAAAGCATGATTCAAAATGGACATATCACCTTCCTCACTCGGGTAGATCTTCATGAAGTAGGCGATCTCCTTGCCCTTACAAACTTCTTGGTTCAACACCACATCTTCGCGGAGGCTCCCAAGCGACACCTAACCAATCTAGGAGACACCACTCTCCAAAAGGTAATAGATTGTGTGTTGATGATGAACTCCTTGCTCTTGTGCTTCAAATGATAGTCTCCCCAACACTCAACTCTCTCACACACATAGATTTGGATATGGTGGAAAGATGATTTGAGTGGAAAGCAACTTGGGGAAGGTTAGAAATCAAGATTCTTGTGGTAGGATTGGAATATCTTGATCCCAACACAGGAGTAGGTGGTTCTATCTCAAAAAATGTATGGTGGAAGTGTAGGCACGTTCTGATGGCTCTCTCACATATGCAGAAGGGGTGGGGGTGTATATATAGCCTCCACACAAAATCTAACCATTAAACACATTTGACCCATCTCGGTGAGATTGAATTATTAAACTCGGTGGCACCGATTAGTTCAAAAATGTGAACATTAGGAATCACGATGGGACCAAAGTGAAGCAATAAGACAATAGAGAATATGTCAAGCCAACTTGGTGAGACTGAGGGAGTCCTGGATTAGGGGGTGTTCGGGTAGCCGGACTATACCTTCACCGGACTCCTGGACTATGAAGATACAAGATTGAAGACTTCGTCCCGTGTCCGGATGGGACTTTCCTTGGCGTGGAAGGCAAGCTTGGTGATGCATATATTCAAGATCTCCTACCATTGTAACCGACTTTATGTAACCCTAACCCTATCTGGTGTCTATATAAACCGGAGGGTTGTAGTCCATAGGCAATCAACTCCATACACAACAATCATACCATAGGCTAGCTTCTAGGGTTTAGCCTCCTTGATCTCATGGTAGATCTACTCTTGTACTACCCATATCATCAATATTAATCAAGCAGGAGTAGGGTATTACCTCCATCGAGAGGGCCCGAACCTGGGTAAAAAACATCGTGTCCCTTGTCTCCCGTTACCATCCCGCCTTGACGCACAGTTCAGGACCCCTACCCGAGATCCGCCGGTTTTGACACCGACATTGGTGCTTTCATTGAGAGTTCCTCTGTGTCATCGCCTTTAGGCCCGATGGCTTCTTTGATCATCAACAACGATACATTTCAAGGTGAAACTTTTCTCCTCGGACAGATCTTCGTCTTCGTCGGCTTCGCTCTACGGGCTAATTCACTCGGCCACCTGGAGCGGATCGAAAGCTACGCCCCTGGCCATTAGGTCAGGTTTGGAAGCCTAAACTACATGGCTGACATCCACGGGGACTGGATCTTCGACGGATTCGAGCCACAGCCAAGCGTGCCGCACTGTCTCGATGGGCATGATATAGCTCTGCCGCCGAACAGCGCCTTGGAGGCCGCATACTACGCTGATCGAGGATCAGCGGTTGGACGCTGCCTCAGGGGTTGCGATCTCAGAGGCGATCGAGCCGAACTCCAGCCTCGCACTCTGCACAACCCGTGACTCCGAGGAGCCGGATTCCACTCCGAATTCCGAGCCCCCTGCGCCCCTGCTGATCAAATCTGATTGGGCACTGATAGCGG